ACGTGAAATCCCTGGGATTAGACCTTGAAATGTTAAAATTATATGGGATGTGCAAGTGGCATGTGGAAATACCAGGACCACAAACTATGCTAGCAGGGAGTATGAAGCATCTGGATTTAGGGACTCAATGGGAATTTTTCTCCAGGATGCCATGACTTGCTGGGAGGTGATGTGGGTGGATCTTCCTGGGATTTATGCATTCTTTTATTTAACTTTCTTGGAAGCATTGAGTTTTATGAGGACTTGCATGGAGTGTGAGTAAAGAAAGAGACAATTAACTTCTAATATTTCACAGAACAAAAGCAAGATATTTTGTATGAAAATTTAACGAAAGCAAAGTTAAAGATCTTAAAACTAGCTTTTAACCTGGCCAAGAAATTTTCACGTTCAATACACAAATGAAAGTCTGCAACTGAAATGATGCTAAGATACTTCATTTCTGATGCCTTATTAAGATTAAAAGAAAATGACAAGAGCTAGGGCTGCTTGGTGGGATTAAAATCTTAAGATTGGTGGTAGGATTTTCAGGTTTATACGCCCAAGTAGCATTGCTATAACTCACCATACTATGTAGCCACTCAGTGACTGTTTGCCTTAAACCACAACTCTTCCTGGGAAAGAAAAAGCAACAAAAACTCTATAAAAAAAAAAAAAGCCTTTATTTATCTTAATGTAAATCTTATCCGCAGCATAGACCTACTACCTTTTATTGCCACTGTTGTTTCATTGTAGTTTAAATATTAGCCTTTGTAGTGCATTTGCCAGAAGCAGCATTCTCTGTGTTTTATTAAAAGTAGCTGAAGTTTACCTCCTGTTATTTGTAGATAAAAAAGGCTCCTTTTCTGGCAACAGTGCGAATGCCATTATGTGTGCTGTACAAAGTTCTAACAGCTATCTGTGACTCCTTGTATTTCTGCCCATTTGTATTGTATTGGGACTGTAGTGTCTGCATATGTGCACATGCGTATCCATGTATTTATGTTGAAAAACAAAGTATTTTGAGGGTAGTATTTTATTCACGAAAGTAAATGCTGATGCGTGGCTCCTCAGAAGGTGAATAAAGGGAAAATACTATTAAAGGGAATGCAAATTGCATACCTGCTGGTCTTCTGCAGTATTTGTGGGATCCTGGCATGTGTGCAGAATTAGATCCCAGCTCAGCAAAACATTTAGTCAGGAAAGAGGAAAAAAACATTAAATCTCCTTACAGTGTCAATTTAGAAATTTGAATCCAGAGGAGCTGCTGTGCTATTTTTTCTTATTATCTTTGTTGTTCATAGAATAAAATCACAGAATCATTTGAGTTGGAAGGGAATTTAAGCGTCACCTAGTCCAACTCCCCTGCAATGAACAGGGACACCAACAGATACGTCAGGGTGCTCGGAGCCCTGTCCAGACTGACCTTGAATGCCTCCATGGATGGAGCTTTCATAACCTCTCTGGGCAACCTGTGCCCATGCCTCACTAATTGATTATGACTGAAGAAAGGCAATCTTTTTGCTTTCTTCATATTTCTTAAAGTAATGCCTACAAGAAGCTGCCCTTTTGCAATTTTTTGAGTCATTTTTGGTATTAGTTCTTCCCTTCCATGTGCATCTCTGATGACTTGATCATAGCTGAAGCAGCAGCTCCTACTGACTTCTTTCAGATCAGGGTTTTCTTGTGGTCCATGAGTGGTATGATGTGAATCCTCAATGCTTTGGCCCCATTGTGGAGGCTGGCAGAAGTCCTCCCAATAGAGAGAACACAGGAGGGAAATGCTGTGCTGTTCTGCTATATCTAGAACAATTACACTTTTAAGAAACTGCTTTGTAGGAGGCCACAGCTCAGTCACTCCTGCAAGCTGCAGGCTGGCAAAGCTTCTGGTTTCGTCTGGTTTTGTGACTCATGCTGGATCCTTTGGAGACCAGGGGTGAGCCAGGACTGCCTGCTTTCTTCTTTGTGGAACAAGCCATTAGGTCACTCTCTCCTCAGACCAGGTGCTTTGCTTCCCAATGACTCGCAGAACTTGACGTGGAGGTCTCTGACCTTCTGCCAGCTTTGATCAAAGCCAGGCAAGATGCTCATGAGTTGCTGTGAGATGGATGGATGGACACGCACACACTCAGCATGATTGCATTAGCCTTGTCTCCTTAGAAAAACAGATGAAAGCTATATAATTTAACAGCTGAATACGAGTTCTGTGGGCAGTAATAGGAACAATGCTGCCTCTACCACACCATACAGATCTGGCTGGCTTCTGAGGCTCTCTTTGAAGAGCCAGGGACAGGCACAGTGCTGCAGTGGTGAGATGTCTGCAGTGTGAATAAACACATCTGGGCATTGCTTCAGGGGGGCTGACACTGGTGCCTACCTAAGCATATGCTTTCCACTTCAGCCTCTGTTTGGAATAAGTTCCATGAGGGAGAAGATACCTTGATGTTGTTGATGAAGCCTGGGGCACAGTAATGGTTCTAATAGCATACTGCTCAGCTCGCTTTAAGACACGTCCATGTCCACAAGGACAGATGGTAGCCAGAGATGTGTATTTTACATTATTGTTTACTTTTCCACGTTCATTTCTCAGCCATTGTACAGACTTCCCAGGAACCTGTTGCCAATAGCCATGATAAAATTTCTTAAAAAGTGCACAAATTTGACTGAAAATGCATCTTTCAGCTGTTACGCAGAGCAGCTGCTACAGCAGCACAACTAGGCAGGCTAACCTCTTTGCTATCCAGCAGCATCAAAGTGGTCTCCCATAAGTTTTGTTCTGGAAATGAGAAGCAAGCTGTCCCATTATAAAAATAACAGTAGTTATACGTTTTTTCAAAGTGAAGCCAAGTATTGAAAATATTCGGGAAGTTAAAAATTTGGTAAGGAAGACAGGGAAATATTGGTTCTCTTTCAAGCTAGCTGTTTTAAAAGCTGGAGACATCACCACATGGGCTACTGCAATACTTTTGAGTAGCAGGCTTCTTTACCAGAACTCAGAGTGAAACTGGAGCTAAGGTATGTCATAGATTAAAAAAAAAAAAAAAAAGCTGATTTTACTTTGGACATGCTGAGGAACAGCTGATTTTCTACCCAGAATCTTTTGGCAGGTTACAGTGTCTTTCTAGCAAACGTGTGCTGTTTTTCTGTTGCAATATATTTGAGAAATGGAGATTTTTTGGGCTCTGCAGGACACAGAATACTGTGCCTGTGTGCATCTCAAGCTGTGGGAAACCTTTATCTTTAATTACAGACTATGATCTGAATAATGCAAGAGCTTTATATCATACAGAGATAAAGCATTATTGTATACATGCAAGTGGAGATTGTTAAAGCAGTGGACTATTTTTCCTCTAATTTTAATTGTTTAATCATTAAACTCAAGATTTCTCTTAAAGCAACTGTATTTACATAGCAATGCTTTGTTACTATTTGGAGGTAAGAATTTTATGGAAATCACATGCCACCTCCCCTTAATGCCCAAGTTAAGATGTTTGCTCTGCTACGCCTGCATTTCTGCTCTACCTTTGTAGGTTTCTATCTGTCTGTAGGTGTCCACCTGTCTTTTGGCTACCAGAGTTCCAATCTGACATGGGATTCTGGCTGCAGCTGGCTATGTTCCTGCAACAGACAGCTGGGAAACACATCTGGCTACTGTCAAGCGTAGGTTATAGCAATATATGTGACTACATTTCTATGTTGCTTTCTATAACTTCAGTATCATTCTACCTGTGAGATTAATATTCAGTGCCGTGGAAAGGATTTTGACAATTATACCTGGACCTTTAGCAAATATCATTTTTATTTGATGCTGTTGTCACTTTGGCATTTGCAGTTCTGTGAGCAGCAGCGAGCTGAGATGTTGCAGTATGGTACTTCAAACCTCGAGTCTGGTTGAAGTAATAGTTAATAGCTACTGCAGATTTACTTTACTCTTGAGCCAAGAAGGGATGAATGCTGGGAGCCAAATCTGAAAACTCGTCACAACCACATGAGATGGAAAAGCAGTCTCTGCGACATATTGATAGCTGTGGATGACAGATATGATATTTATTGCCATGGACAGTAAAATTTATATACATTAAAAAAATGCAAACTTCGGCAAGCGATGGGAAGCACTGACAGGAAACGCCTTAGAACAAATTTCTGCAAGAAAATGTGGCCGGAGGAAGCTGCTTCAGTGAAAATGTTTTATTTGTTCTGATCCTGGGGGAAAATGGTAGAGTACAAGAAAAGTCAACTTCTGAAATATCATTTCTCTTTACCCAGTGAAAGTCACCTCGACTCTGGTAAATAAGGGGGATGTTCTTCCCTGGATAGCTTTGTAATTAGAGATGTTTGTGTACCATTAGAGAAGAGAGCTATTTAAATGAAAACTTTACTCCGGCTAAATTAAATTGGAGTGTCCAGAAACGTTTGGGTTGCCCTTTTCTCTTGATCAAATAAAATACTCTCTGTTAAATATTTAATATGTATATTGTTCCACTTCTTTTCTGCAATATTAGTTTTAGTATTTAAGAGGCCTAGCAGAGTATTAAGTGGAACAGTAGTTTTATACAGTAGAAGATTGATTAATAATGCAAACTTTTCATCAAATTACAGGTTCCCTTTTGTTTCTTTCCAGCCTAGTTATTGCAGCCTTGTGACACTGCCTGGTTACTGGGAGAAAAACTGAATTCTGATAAGAAAAATTAGGAAGATTGCTTCAACAGCCCAAATTGGATAAATTGTTAACCATAATGGATACTACAGCTTAGAAATACTGGAAAACAAGGGTCGAAGTGGCAGGAGATATTTTCATCTATCACAGAAACATAAGTCCAGAATTGGGAACTTCTCTTTGAAATGGAGGGTAACTCTTCATTCCGGTGTTGCAAGTGTCCCCCAAACATCAATGTATGTAATGTTTGCATAGGGGAGACCTTAGCACTCTCTATAACTACCTGAAAGAAGGTTGTGGCAAGGTGGGAGTTGGCCTCAGTTCCCAGGCAACAGTGATAGGACGAGGTGAAATGGCCTCAAGTTGTGCCAGGGGATATTCAGGTTAGATACTAGGAAACATATCTTGTCAGAAACAGTGGTGATGCACTAGGACAGGCTGCTGAGGGAGGTGGTGAAGTCAGCACCCCAGAAAGTGTCCAAGAAATGTATAGAAGGTGTGATGTAAATGGCTTACAGAGCATTCCTGATTTTCTTGGTTTGCATTCTGTATTTCTAAAAGACAAAACCAAAAGCAAAGGAAGCAAAGAGGGGCTGAACACCTCTTGTTTATTGCATTAGCAAAGTGTTTTTTTGCAGTAGGTGGGCACGCACTGGGAAAAGGTGGCTATAGTTGTCTGTTCCCATTTGGGAAAGTGATTTCCAGCCCATGTGGAGAACCAAAGGGACATCCAGGAGGCCAGCAGGGATCTACTTGGAGGACCGCACAGGAATGGGGAAGCAAGGCTGAGGTGAAGGGTGATCTCCTTGCAACACAGCTTTATTTGCCTCTCGCCTCAAGTTCAAACAGCCCTGGTGCTGGGCATGACCAGCAACTAGTTCTGCTCAGTGACATCGGCTTGGGTAGCTCCAGCCAGCCCGGCCTTGGGTGCCACGCCGTGATGTCACAGTGCCCACACAGGGGCCTGATGGTGACACCTGTGCATCTCCCAGCAGAACGCCCAGGCCGTGCTGGTGGATTTCTCTTGCCAGCAGGCAGGGAGAAGACTGCCTTGGTGCACAAGCGGCTGCACGCTCAATCTTTGATGCAAACCAGAAAGGAGGAATTGAAATGGAGGCATCAGCAGCAGAAACAGCTTCTGTTTCTGAGCTGGAGGGGCTGCTTGAGACCTCTGCCTTCAGTCATCTCCAGGACAGGACCCAGCAGCAGCTGGCAATGCTGCTGGAACAGCAATAATGGAAGAACAGGGACTCAGAAATGGTTCCGGTTGAGGAGGAAACCAAAGGTTTACATCTGAGTTCCTTCAAGGAAAGTGCTGGCCAAGCCAGCATCTTCCCATCGCTCAGCTTCCCACAGAAACTCTGGGTACTGGCAGAAAATGAGAATGTGAAGAGCATTTGGTGGGGTCTTGGAGGAAACTGCTTGGTGATCAAAGAAGAACTGTTTCTGGTGGAAGTCCTGGCCACGGAAGGACCTGTAAGAGTGTCTGGCTGTACAAGCATGAAGAGCTTTGTTTGCCAGCTCAACTACTATGGCTTCACCAAAGTTTCACAGGCCATGGAAAGATCTCCTTTGCTTCCTGAGTTTCTGGCTGAGGAAGAAGTGTTTGCTAGCAATAGGAAAGTAAGTACATCAATTGAATGAGCAGCCTGGAAAAGAAGTGCCGTGGCTGCCCCTGGTCCTGCCCTGCAGGAGGCTTGGAATGAGAACCCCCAGAAGAGCAGCCCAGGTGCCCAGCTCACATGGGGAGCAGCTGCTGGGCCAGAGAGGAGCCTGCAGGCAGCAGAGCCTGCCAGCCAAGCCCCCCAAGGAAGACACCCCCTGAGCGCAAGCAGTACCTGCTCACAGCCTGCCAGGTCCTGCCGCAGCACCAGCGCAGCAACAGTGCCAGGCTCTGCCCTGCTCCACGCTGCCACTGAGCAGCAGCCAGATGCTGGGTGCCATTTGTGCTCCTTCGGCGCACGGCGCTCTGCCCTCTGTGGTTTCCACTTTGACACCTGGCCCCCATACAGAAGGAGCTCCCGCAGGCTCCAGAAACACCCCAGCTGCAGGCTCTCTGGCCTGCCCTGCCTTTCCTTTGTGCATGTTTTGCGATGGCCATGATGGCAGTGGCCAAGATGATGCCACTGGACTGGCAGCCATGGGCAGCCCCACATTGCCCAACGTGCACTTGCAGCCAGCACTGGGCAGATGCCAGCCATGGGATGGCCCCGTAGTGTGGGACCCACTGCAGGCAGTGGATCAGCAGCCTCTCCTTACTTGTTCCTACTTTGTAGCTCATAGGTGTATACTTTAGGAAATAGCTTGTTTAATTAAGTCACCTTCTCAGTTCTCGTGCACCTTTGTTCGTTTATTTGTCTACTTATTTATTTAATTCTTCTGGATAGAATATGTTTCAATAATGAACCTTTTCCTTTGTTAGATTCTTTTATAAAGTCAATCACTCATTTCAAGCTAAAATCTCAGCCTGAATTTGTATTTCGTCTCCCAACAGGAAGTAGAAGCAGTGGTTCTAACAGGGATGGAATCCTTTTCTCTAAGAGTTACACTCTAGATTCTTTGAAATAGTGAGCGAAAGACTGGGGAAGGTCTGCACACCTCATGCACTGGGAGTGCTCCTCCTCATCACAGAACCATAGAACAGCTTGGGTTGGAAGGGACCTCTAGGATCACCAAGTTCCAACTCCTCGCCACAGGCAGGGCTGCCAGCTGCTAGATCAAGTACTAGATCAGATTGCCCAGGGCCCCATCTGACCAGGCCTCTCTTTTCAGCCCGTCCCAGCACCTCAGCCCTCCCCAGTAAAAAACTTCCCTTTGACATCTAATCTAAATCTCCCCTCCTTGAGTTTAAATCTAGTCCTCCTCGTGCCATCACTATCTATCCTTATCAAAGGTTGATTTCTCTTCCATTTACAGTATCCCTCTGAATTCAGAAAGGCCCGGTGTTCTCCATGCTGAACAAGTCCAGTTCCTTCAGCCTGTCTTTATAGCAGATTTTCTTGACCAGAGTGAGGTGGGCATGGAACAGGTTCCCCGGAGCTGCGGTGTCCCCAAGCTGTTGGAGTTCAAGGAGTGTTTGGACAATACTCTTTGTCTTAGGGTTTTAATTTCCATACAGTTTTTCCTGTGTGGAAGCAGGTGGTGTATTCGCAGATTCTTGTTGGATCTCTTCCAACTCAAGCTGTTCTATGATTCTAACAATTCTACTGCATGGAGAGAGGGTGCTGTAATGGAGAGATCTTCCAGTATTAGGTAAGAGAAAGAGTAGTCAGTGTGGTTGGGGAGTGGTCAGAGCTGGGATTTATTGCCTTATTTGGTGAACTCCAGTGTAGGGGGTCGATGTTACAAGCACCAAACTCTCAGTGGTGTGTGCAAACTTGGAGGGCATGACCCTCACCCATCCGAAGGAAGCAGCAGAACTCCTGTTGACTCGGGCAGGACTGGATTCTGCTCCAAACCTGTGTGTTCTGCTCATCAGCAAATTGCAGTGCTTCCTCCCTTGGCTGCTGTGAGCTTTAAGCTTGGCAGTTTTGTGGCCTCTGTAAGGCAGGGTGCTGCATGGTGGCTTGCTGTGCTGGCGCGATGTGCGTGAGTCTGCAGTGTAGACTTGCAAATTGAAAGGCATGGAAAGTGCTATATGTCACAGTCATTTAGACTGCTGTGCACTTAGCACTGGAAGTTTTATAGAAAGGCAAAATATACAATTCAATTACAACTGCTGCAATGCAATCCAAGTTGATCTAGTTTCTCCCACATGAGCTGACCACAATTTTAAGCTTGGCATAGCCTGAAAGCTTGAGGAATGTATTTCCAGTAATTGCCAGGCCACTTCATTATTTCTGTGTATACATAAACACTAGGCTGTGATCATAGTGGTCATGCTTGAGCTGCTATCTGAAATTCACTTGTGCTATAGGGATTGACTAATCTGGTTCATACTGACAGCAGTTTCCATTTACTGTGTTAGCTCTCCTTGACTTTGAGTGCCATGCAACTCCAGCTAGAATCAGAAAACAAAAACTGTTAAAAAGTACAAAGTGCATGAGTCACGCAGCAGAAAACCCACGTGTCATCACAGAATCCATTACTTCTTGTTTCAGAAAATGGGACCAGGTGGCAGAAGATCCATTTATAAGATGCCAAGACTATGAAGCATCTAGTGAGGAATAACAGACGGTCATTTAGCTTTTAATCTTATGGGAGAAGAATAGCAAAGAGTCAGTCCTTTGCAGCCTCAAGACGTGCTCTTACTTGGCCTGCATAAACTTCTCCCTTAGTTAGTGTTTCTATTTGTGTACATATCATGGCATTCATAAGGTCTAATTCCTATAGGTTCTTTGCTATTGTTCCCAGGCAAAGTCCCTTGTGCACTCTGTAGGTTTGTGGGTTTTTTTTCCTGTTTCTCTCAGCTTCATCAGTTATGAGTTCTCTTGCACAGGGCAAACTAAAGCTCCAAGTTAAAACTGGATGTACTTCTTTATTCCTTCCTAGCAAATCTATTTCTTTTAAGTTTTTTCTCAGGATATTGATTGCTGGTAATTTAATGTGTCTCAACTGTGAGAAGCTGTTATGACAGTTTCACACACTATTGCAGTTTTTTATTTCCCCATTCACAGACAAAAATGGAAGATGTTGCTTGCTGGAAACTGTAATATATAATTCAGCTAGCATCACCCCTGTCAGTAGCCAGATGCTGTAACTTCCAGCAGTTGGATTGTTATTTTAAAGTAGCCTAGTCTGTAATTATTTGGCATGGTCTTTGTTGCATTTCTATAAATGAATTAGTCCAATTAAATGAATCTTCAGGTACTTGAGACACTGTTCAGTAAAAAATGTGCTGAACTATTTTGAATTCAGCACATAAAATTAAGCCTGTACTTAGGGAAGGAGTGGAAGAATGCTTGGGACTGCCAGCATCCCTGCCTGTCACAGGACTGTTTCTGTAAGCTGACAAAGGTCTGAATGTAACATGGATGGTGACTTTATTTACTACCGTCCAGTTCACCTCCAATGACAATCCTGTCCTTTTCAGCCCTCTCCTTGCTTAGTGAAGCAAGCCAAGTCTTCAAGGTCTCCACACTGCTGTGTAGGGTATCCTGAAGTTGGGTGTGTGGACAATACCCGCTGCCTTTCCCTGATTTTAATTGGAAAATAACACCTTCTTTCCCTCTGCCTGCAGCACAACTCCAGAGGCAGAAATATCTGTTGAGTAGATTAAAATTTAAGTGCTCTAATTAGAGAAAGGGAAGGAAGTTATAGAAGGAAAAGAAAGCCTTATTTGGATTTGTTTTACCTTCTGTGATTCTGTGATTTGTTTTACCTTGAACAATGTGTAGTGCATTAAAATGAATGAGCAGGACTGTCTTAAAAGTTGCAGAAGTTGAGTGCTCTCAACTTCAGAAATGCCATATTTATAGTTACCAGAACAACTTTCATGCAGTGCTGGCGTGGGAAGGTCCTGCAGCAGCTTCCCCACATGGCCTCCCAAAGAGTCCCTGTCTCCTTTCCTCACTAGCAAAAACTCACCTCTCCTGGTGCGCAGCCAGAAGTGGTTCAAGGTTTTGCCCATGTCAGCCCTTGACTACTCCTCTGCTTTGAATGAAGAGAACAAATTAAGCAGCAAATTACGGGCCAGGTGAAATGAGACGTTCCCAAATCACTTGTTGATTTGATAGCAATCCTAATTTGTTGTTTCTCTAACAGTGATGTTCCACTAGAAAACCCTTGTCTGTCTTCAGAAGGGTCTGTGTGAGGCCCAAGGCAGATGCCATTTGAGTCCATGAGATTTTCTATGTTGCCTTTTGCAATAGATTAGCACAGCTTTCTCTCAGCTGAGATACTGTGGGGGGAGTGTAGGGGAAAAGTGAAAGATTGGGGTATGCCACCCAGAGCAAAATGTGATTTATTCTCTAGTTAGTTGGTGTTGTTGTGGAACTATCAGGTCCATGGTTGGTGAAAGCCCAAACCTGGTATGGTTTTAGTCCAGCTAAATTCAAATATATGGTTCCACAGAAATAACAAAACACTGCAGTGATGGTTATAGACATCCAGAATAAAAGAGAATTTATGGGTGTGGGGCTTTTTCCAATGGTAAACAAGGGACAGTTTGGACAAAACAGGAGGAGAGAAGACCTTAAAAATAAAGAAGCCATCTAGCATTCCATATGCAGAGAAAACAATTTCCATGCCTCTTATCAAAAATGTGTTAAATCAGCTAACATTGATATAACTTCAAGCAATTAGGAGCACGCTAATAATGATATGAGTCTTCAGCTGTAAATAATTACGCTGCCTCAAGGCTATGCTTTAATTCTTGGCTTGCTGTATCTATAAACAATAATCAAACTGCAAAGCAAGTTGTGTTGTTTTTGTTCACAATTTGTGAAATGATTTCTGTACCCTACAGTGATGCTGATGGCTATTTTGACCTTCAAGAACTCCGGCCTGTGAGGCTAAGAGCTAATGTGTACTTCCATCGATCTGAGTTACAGGCACACAGCAGGTTACTGTGCCTGTTCTTCACAAGTACAAAAGCTGCTATCGTCAATCAGTGTGTGTTGTGAAAAGGGGGCTTGCTGCTGAGACTCAATAAATAGGGACATTAGGAGGAAATGTTATAATTG